ACGCTCCAACCGAGGCCAGCTCCGAAGTGAGGGACTTCATTCCTGTGGACCGAGTCATCGCTTGGCCAACTCTCCTCTTCTTCCACCCACATCCCCGGTGCGCAAACAACGCACGTCGCGGGAGTCGGTGGGCTGGCATGAGTAACACGTGGTCGAGCCATCGGAGCCTGATGCGTGAAATGACGGTGCTGAGCTGTTCAGATCCTTTTTCCGTACCGTAAACAAGGCGTCGAACACGCTCGTTACTCACGCGGTGTTCCCACCAGATGTGAGCCAAACTGCGAAAGCACCGATGGACGAACGTAACTAGCCTCTTCATGTCCGTCGATCTTAAGGGCCAGGTTTCGCAACCGTACAGTAAGTTTGAACTTACCGCTGCATTGTACACTCCACCCTTCAGGGCGAGAGTAATGTCGCGCCGCCGCCATAGGTGGCGAAGGTTAGCAAAAGCACTTCGAGCTTTTGCTATACGGTTCGTGATCTCGTCTTCAATCCCAAGGGCGCTAATACAACTTTTCAGATAGTTGAATTTCTGAACGACTTCTAGCTGATCCGCACCAAGGGTCAGCACAGGCTATCCCTGCTAATCTTGGAGGAATGCTTTGCATTTCGATGGTGCAAAGCAAAGCCCGAAGCAGCTGACAACCATTGCTAATCTGTCCAGCGCGGCTTGGCACATCTGGGAGCTGTCACAGATGAGGGCAATGTCGTCTGCATACTCCAAGTCAAGAAGTCGTTCTCCTAGGAGTAGCTCCACACATTCCATGTCATGTCCTGTAAATGCAATCTCCATGACTTCGTCAATAGTTCGCGGTTCACACAACCGAAAGCGTTGTGAAAATCCAAAAAGCAGATGCGGATGGATTTGTTTCTATTATCCAGTGACGAGGGCAAATTGTGAAGGTGTTACTTTGACAGAGGAGGGGTGAGGGGGTTGTACACCCCTGGACGGCATGTGACAAACGGCGGCATTTTTACTACGGACGATGGTCCGATACCAACTTTGGTTTCATCAAAATACTTAGGTAGCCGAAGTTGTAAAAACGAGGGACCACAATCATAATGGGACCAAGGGTGAAATCGGTACTCCAAAAGTTGTTGCTTGGGGAACAGAAAGCGACATTAGACAACATTGCAGAAGCGAGAAAGATCTGTGATTCTGATGCCGATACCCGCGAATTTGTGGAATTAATAATGCAACAAGTACCTAACACAATAACACACACCAACCGATTATACGGATGTCTGTACGTGACCTCATAAGATTGGCCATATGATCGCATTAGAAGGGGCGAAAATTTCGTACCGCTCCGGGCAGCAAAGATAGTTGCCACGCCACTAGTTTGACAGCATCCCATATTACCATAACTAGTATGGTGCCATACTATCCAAAGCAATACCATTAATTCCCTTTAGTGGATTGCGTTCGCAAACGACGATGCTCTATGAGACTCGAGGGGAGGGATTTGGCTCTGTATCGTAAGCAAATGATTAATTCCGCCATAGCAGTAATTTTGTTGAAGGTTCAAATATATATATTGCAACGAGATGTCGCATAGCTGGCTCAGTATGTCACACCGAAACTTCCCGTATGAGTTATACAACTTCTGAAACATTGATTAAATCTGAGAAACGTTCATGTATGTACACCAACGCCCAAGGGCTCCTCAGTAAAATTAACGAACTTCGACTGCGTCAGGTTGCGAATGCTTGGGACCTAATTTCTATTACCGAAACTTGGTTGCATCAAGAGGTGACTGATGCTGAGGTTGAGATAGCCGGAATGTCAATCATCCGGAACGACCGCCCCAGCAGAGGAGGTGGGGTCCTACTCTACTACCGCAGCGATCTACAATGTACAATAGTTGAGGACCTGGAAACACACGTTACCGACTCACTCTGGTGCCGTCTCCGACTGAGACACAACGATACATGTCTCATAGCTATCGTTTACCGCCCCCCCCCCAACGTCCACTCTGGAAATGGATTCCTGCTTGATCCGTGGCCTAAACAGAGTAACACGCACTAGGTACAGCCACACTCTCATCTCCGGGGACTTCAATCTACACAATCTGGAGGTTTCGGCATCGCCCAGTGAGCAGTTCAAAGCAGACTTGCAGGAACTGATCGCTAATATTCCTTTGTACAATCATGTCACCACGCCCACTAGATTCAGGACAGCAAACAAACCGTCCATATTGGACCTTGTGCTCACAAATGAAGAGCTCATGATTGACAAGTTATTGATGGATAGTCCATTAGGTCTCAGTGACCACGTAGTAATAACTTTTGACTATGTGTGTTATGCAGAGTATCCATCTGAACACTCGGAACTAACTCATACAATCACACGCTACCACGTATTGAAAGAACTCGCCGACGCAGCTTCTTGGGAATTCTCAAACAAAAGTCCCCTTGACAACGTTTGGGCAGATTTCGTTAATAAGCTCAACGACATCGTCAACAAAGCATCAGAGACCAAACCCTTTCTTCCCGCGAAAATGCCTTCAATTATAAGGAGTAGGACTCGCAAATGCCTGGCGATAAGGGATGCAGCATGGCGTGCCTACAAGATTAACCCAGGCTCAGAGACTTGGGGAAATTTCCTGGCCCATCGCAACCATTGCACCGCACTTGTCCGTGAGGACAAAATAACGTATCAACAGTGTCTAGCCAAAAAGTTCATGACAAACAACAAACTGCTGTATAAGCATGTCAATAAGCTTCGTAAAGTGAAGCATGGAATACCCCCACTATTCACGACAGGCGGTAGAGTACAAAGCGCCGAAGAAGCAGCTAATGCACTGCGGCTGCAATACGCACCAATTTTTGAACTCGCAACATCTACCTGTCCCATAATATCAAGCTCATTACCGACACCTCTGTTTACAAATGTTATTTTCAACCCATCAATTGTGCTAAGGAAGTTACTCTCACTGCGCGAACATAGTTCTCCGGGAGCAGACAACATCCGCCCGAAGGCACTGAAGGCTGTGGCTAATAAGCTAGCTGAACCACTGTCACAGTTCTTTCAAAGGTGCTTTGATGAACAACGAGTCCCCATTATGTGGAAGTGTGGCATTATAACCCCTATTTTTAAAGGCGGTAGCCGTTCCGATCCTGCAAACTATCGTCCAGTGACTCTCCTCCCTGTGCTCGCGAAGGTGATGGAAGCAGTCGTCGCTGAGGCTTTAATGGACTATCTGGAAAAATGCAACATCTTGGTACCGGAACAGCATGGCTTCCGTCAACACCGGTCATGCACCACCAACCTACTTATTGCTCGAGGTAGTTGGACGGAAGTGGCCGATGATGGGGTCGGAGTCGACGTCATCTATCTGGACTTTTCCAAAGCTTTCGACCGCCTCGATCACCGCATCCTACTTCAACGGCTTCAGAGTTACGGAATCGGAGATCCTGTACTTGGTTGGATTGGCAACTTCCTTTACCAACGAAAGCTCCAAGTACGTGTTAGGGGATCACTTTCTAACCCAATTGAGGTGGAATGTGGTGTCCCGCAAGGCTCAGTGCTGGGACCGCGCTTATTCCTGGTGTTTATCAACGACCTGGCAAGAGTCATCTCCTCAAACTTCCTGCTTTTCGCCGATGACGTCAAGATATGGCGGGCGATTAGTAACAAGGCAGATCAGGATCTGCTCCAACATGACCTAGATTGCATTTATGAATGGTCAAAGAGTAACAAGCTTCAATTGAACATGGCTAAGTGCAAAGTGATGCATCTGCGTCACCAGCTGGTGAGCGCCTACAAGATTGGAGACCACAACTTGGCAAAGGTTTCTCATGAGCGGGACCTGGGTGTATTGGTACAGGAAGATCTCGGGTGTTCCAAACAAGCACAGAAGGCGACGAGAACCGGAAATCAACACTTCGGCCTTCTTCGCAGAGCCTTCGGTCGGTTTGAACCATCAATATTTCCCCAAATGCTTAACGCCTACGTGCGACCTCACGTGGAATATGCTATTCAGGCGTGGCAGCCGTGGCAGAAACAGGATCTCATTGCTCTCGAGACTCCTCAACGACGGGCAACCAAGAACGTCAGGGGCCTCTTTCATCTGCCCTATCAGCTTAGACTGAAATCTCTAAGAATGTACAGCAGTCGATATCGGCTTTTGCGGGGGGATCTCATAATGGTTTACCAGATTCTGAAGAACCCAAACCACATTTGCCGTCCGCTGCTGGAATTGAACCCCAACATTAAACTAAGAGGTCACCCTCTGAAACTGACAATTCATTACAGCCGGCTTGAATGCCGTAGAAATTTCTTTTCTCTCCGCGTGTGTGAGCCTTGGAATGCCCTCCCTAATTATGTCGTCTCTGCTCCCAATCTGGCGATATTTAAAAAACGTGTTGACGATGCGTTGTCTCACTTACATTTCCTTTTATGACTTGTTAGCCAGGGGCTACAAAACGCAATCAAACGGTTTCTTGCCAAACGCTCAACCATTGGATTTATGGATTTTTATGTTTAATACGCGAACATCTCCGCTATTTCACATAAGTCTATGGTGAGTCCACCACAACGCTTTTCACTTTAGTATGCAATTTATTTTCGCAATAATTTCCATCCCACGGGACTTGTTAAGCGATGCTTTTTTTACCCGTAATAAACCATTGTCCATTGTCCATTGACCGTGATTTGTCTGCTGATGTCAACGCAGCAGCTGCTGTCATCAGGCTAGTTAGGTGTGTAGGTTTATCTTCATGAGGTAGCTATTTAGGGTGATTAATGTAATCTATTCAAGACTGCCGACCCTAATTTCCATTTTGTTCGCTGTTCAGTTCACAAAACAATTTCGACTGTTAGCATCGTGTCGATCGACGACGCCGTTATACATGTAACATACAAAAATATTCGTGAAATGCAGCCTTGATACCTGCCAATGCACCAATATGCCAGACCATGTGAAAACTGTTGAGTAGCAAGGTAAGATAAGCAATTCCAAACAACACAAAAATACCGTGTCATTTAGGTGACTCACTGCAATCTGCACTTCGGGTCCATGCTCATTGGAATAGCTGTCTAGATATGAATACTGATACCGTTACACATTGTGTAATCCAAGTATATACATTTGGTTCAGAGGTATGTTTCTACCCACAATTATTTATATGCATCAAACAAGACATCAAGAAATCAATAATTCCGGTGTTCGCATGACCCGCATTGGTTTGTAACTCGCGAGACCATAAACGTCATCAGCTTCGTCAACTCCGCTACCATCTAAACATGCGATGTGTTCACGTGGATAATGTACACACAGGTGAATATCACACAGTTCCGTGCATTCATACGACGGACAGGTCCGATTGGCTTTTCACTTGCGTTCACCACGCCCCGATTCCATCAGACGCAAGTGGACGCCTGCCGGTTTGACCCAACGAGATCTTTGACCTCACAAACACTGATTGACTGTACGCTAATTATTGACGGTGACTAGCGTGCACCCATGGTGTGCGACAGTTTTGAGCACACACCGACTCTGCGGGGGGATTCCGAGGTTTCCATTTAGGGTATTACTTATTCGCAACCGCTCTTCTACGCTACTAGTGATTTAAGTCAAATGGAAAGGTCACAAGAAAAAATCAGTGCCTTAGAGGGGTCATTCTATTGTATAGACCAATTGCGATACGCTATCTCGTTCTGGACAACATTTGCACCGAAGTAAACCTTGTTCACTTCGAGACATAGCTTGGCAAAATGCATAGTCATGTCCCGTTGCGTGTGGAAAATAACTGGAGGACCGAACAACTGTCTGCGCAGGCAAAATAGTAAATGCTTCACTGTGAATGTGCATTTTCGTGCTTGAATTTGGTGAATTCAGTAATGGTTATCCCCTTACGCACCTTACTGGAAAGTATATCTAACAGATGCTCCCAAGTAACCCACTTCTGAACAGTTTAGCGAATCTGACAATGGCAAGCGGCTACGATACGAAAGAGAGATGTTCATGCTGACTAACTTCCTGAAGCAACCGGTACATTCCTGAAGACTAATGGAATGTCTTGGGTGTTTTGATTGGGTTCACTAGACCAGATTCATAGAAACAATGATGCATTACAGTTAACAATGCGATGCTTAACAAGTCCCGTGGGATGAGAATCATTGAGAAAATAAAAATTCATGATAAAGTGAAAAGCGCTTTGGTAGACTCACCATAGACATGTGTAGATGAACTAAACTGTCCATGTGGTCAAAGTATAGACCCATAAATCCATTTCTTGGAATTTTGGAAATACACCGTTTGGTTGTGTTAGATAAATCCAGGGCTAACACAAGTTATAACATAAATTGTGAATAGGGCAACACCTCGTCAAGTCCTTTTTTGTATCTCGTTAGGTTGGGGTGGTGACGACATAATTTTGATCGCTCCATGAGTGACACAACCAAAGGAACACATTTCTAAAGCATTCCAGCCGGCTATACTGTATTGTCAGATTCAAGGGATGACCTCTTAGGTTAATGTTATAGTTCAGTTACAGCATCTGGCAGCAAATGGGGTTTAGGATTCTTCAAAATCTGATAAACCATTAAGGAGTCCTCTAGCAAATGCCCATATCGACTGTTGTACAGATCTAGAGACTTCAACCTAGGCTGGTAGGGCAGATGGAAGAGGTCCTCACGTTCTTGGTTGCCATTCGTTGAGGAGTTGCTAATGCAACGAGATCCTGCTTTGCTATGAATACCACGCTTAGATGACGTATTACACAGGCGGCCGCAGGTAGACATCAAGCATTTGGGGGAAGATTGTGGGTCAAACCGACCGAACGCTCTGCGAAGGTTGTAGTGTTAATTTCCGATACTCAACGCTTTCTCTTTGTGTTTTGAGAAACGAAGATAGTCCTGGGTAAATCGCCCAAGGCCACGTTTCTGAGAGGCTTGCTGCAATGTGTCGTCTCCAAGCTTGTACGCGCTCGCCGGCTGGTGGTACAAATGACATTCTGCAGTTAGTTCGTTCAGCTAAAGTAAGTTCCTCGTTGACAATTCTTGAATACAATCCAATTCATGTTGGAATAGATTGTGATCTTCGTTGCTATTAATCACCCGACATATCTTGATGTCATTGGTGAAAAGCAGAATATTTGTGGTAACTCTTCTCGGGTAGTTGATAAACGCCAGGGATTTGTGCGGTCCCAGCATCGAACCATGTGGAACACCACATTCCACCTCAATCAGGTTGGAGAGCGATCCTCTAACACGCACATGAAGTCTCCATTGGTGAAGAAAGTTACTAATCAGACCAAGAACAGGATCGCCGGTTACGTAACTCTGCAGCCTGTGAAGTAGGCGGTTGAAAGTTTGGAGAACTCCAGATGGCTGGTGTCAATTACAGCCCCCACCAAGGGCCACTTCTCTCCAACTATATGCTATCAGCGAGTTAGTGCTGCGTGACCAGCATTGATGGAACCCATGCCTCCCCGGTGCCAAGACTGCGCTTTTCTACGTGCTCCACAAGAGCCTCAGCGACGACCGCACAGGAAGGAGACTCACCAAGCTGTTTTTCGATCAGAGAGCTATGGCAGATCAGAGCTGGCTTATGAGATTATGTGCATTAACGACGTCTTCGATATCATCAAACGCAGCGAACTATATGTGCCCACCGATGACATCAAATTCGCTTCTAAGTGCGATTCAAACATTACCAGTAACGCCCTGGACAGCATACATGCAGATCTACACCGGCTGGAAACTTGATGTGGCTACTGGAGAATCGAAATCTCATCCGAGCAGTGCAGCTGCATATGCTGCCGCTATTGTAGCAAATGCTATCATTCTAGACGATAAAACCCCGTCCACCTGTACCACGATACCTGCTCCTGGGCTACAGTACTCAAGTTCCTTCACTTTCTCTAAGCAGGTGTAGTATGCTGTTGTGAATGCGCGGAAACTAGGAGGGTTAATACTAAAATCCTTTGTTTTGAGACCGCTGCTTCATCTATGCTCACCAAGCAGCACACGAGGACACCGGTACAAGCTTGTCGTACCGGATTTGAAGCAGGTCGCTCACCAGCTCTATTTCGAACGCAGAGTGGTGAATGTATGGAACGGCGCGCCGCAGCACGTAGTTGAGGCAAAGTTGGTGTTGGAATTTAAGAAGTTCCTGGACAAAAACTTTGCCGACGCAAAATATATTGAACGGAACACAACATAAGGGGTTTTTGTCCCTGCGTGACATTGGATGCAGCTACACAGAGCAAACTCTACTTGCTGCTTTCAACCACTAATCAGTATCCAAAATCCACCTATATGAAACTGGTATTAGTCCCCATTTAGAATATTGCTCAATAATGTACTCCAACCTGAGAAAACGTGAAACAACTTCAATAGAAAATGTACAACGCTCTTAACTAAGCGTCTAAATAGAGGCTCCGGTAATCCTTTTTGTAAGATGCACATGGAACCCATTTGGTTAAGTAGACTAAAACTAAACCTGAGGTTCATGTTTGATATGATCCACAATGCATCATCACCCCAGCTATAGAGGCAATATTTTAAACTTCCCTCAAGTACAACGTGGAGAATAGACAAAACACGTTACCAATTAAAAAAACACGAACTAACTTAAGATTAATTTTTTCCTGAACGTTACGCAGTTATGTGGAACAAATTACCCTATAACATAAAAATGTGGATCTCAAAAGGGATTTTCCGTAATCCAGTAGACAGAGAACAGACTGTGAATAAAGTAATGGATATGCACAACATAAACGTGAGTAAAACCACGTCGTACGCGGATGGGCCGATTGCTATATTATAAATAGCAAAATGGTCTGATCTGAAGTCAACCCACCTCTACACCAACTTTCTGCTGCATATCGAACAAAATAATTTTTGTCCGGGTTTGTAATAGCACACAAACTACGGAATGATTACTTAAGTCCATCGAAAGCATTTCCTACGCACAGCCGCCCCAGTTGGTTGAAACAAGGGAACATCGATTAGGAACTATTTTCCTTATGAACAAGGGATACTGACACAAGCTGAAATTGATTCAACAGTATTCTGGTCAGATTTTGCACACATCTCTCCGGATTGGGTGGGAATTTACGTTCCGGTTGCGTGTGATACATGTTTTATAAGAATGCTTTGTACTTTTTTCTAGTACATTTATGCACACGCCTTGTTCATATTACTTAAAAAATTCACGCTGGGCTGCCCCAAGCAATTCGACACTTAAGTTGTAAAGCGCCCACAGTCGTTCCAGCTCAGGTATTTGGAATAGAACAGCGTCCAACAGATTGTGAGCATGGCGTTTAAGGGACTTTGTCGTCGGACGCACATGGCATCGTCTGATCGACCTCCAATAAGCTTTAGCATACTGATTGTGTCGCAAGCATTCCTGTATAAACCAAAGTTCCGTCTTTGCTTCTGAAAGTCTGGCATTAAACTTTGAACGTCTGTTAAAGTCCTAAAATTCAAAGGGTTTCTTGCTATTTTTTAACTCGTAGATAATGCCCACGGAAAAGTAAAACACTGGGTTGCAAAGTGATCTCATTTCATTAGTTCACGTCGGGCAAATACAGCAACAGAACTGATAACTGCAACAGTAAACTGGTGAAGGCCAAACGCAGGACGGATGGAATGGTTTGAACAGATTTAGCATGTTCGTTCCACGCGCAAATCAATCTAATCAGGTGATATCGTGATAGGGCTAACAGAAAGGTAAACAACTTGTGTAAATAAACGAGGTAAAAATACTATCAAAATAAAAAAACTAGATAATTACCTAATTAAACAGCACCCGGTTATGCGTGATGCTCCGGGGAAAATCACTTCTCGTCAGCACCATGGCAAAGGTAAGGGTTGCCCAAACACCGTATGCTTGCAAAGCTGTGATTATGTTAGCCTGATCGCGATGGCTTCCGCCGTCTGCAAGACGCGTTTTCTTAACCCTTTCGGGTATCGCTTTGGCACGGTATAATAGATCTTGAAAGTATCTCTGGTTAAAATCTGAATCCCACTTTGAAGGAGTTCCAAGACCGAGCTGTTGATACTTCTGGGTGTGCCACTCCGCAGTGCCCCTGGAGAATGCTCAGCCATCCTAACCGACAGATGCCTGGTGGTATGCCCGAGGTACTTCGCACCACATGTGCAAGAAAATTGGTAAGCAATGTACGATTAGGACGATGCTGGTAGTCTGTCTTTAAGATGTTGAGCTACAAAGAGTGCGGTTCCCGCATGTACGTGCGGGAGGGCGGCCGGGTAGGTCCCGGCTTAAGCTATACTTGTCAAGGCTTAGCAGGCA